CTGAACTTTGCGCTGCTGCTCGCGCTCGCGGGCCTGGGGACGTGGTTCTGGACGAGTCGCGTGCCCGGCGGCGACGACGACGCGTGCCGCAGGGCCCACGTCGGCTTCTTCTTTGCCCCCGTGCGTCTGGGCAACAGGCTGTTCATGGCGTTTCATGCCCTGTTGTACATCGCCACCATGCTCGTGTGCGCGGGCATCATGCTCGTAAAAGCAGGCTGGAGAATCCCCGTGTGGGAGGAGCGTCGCAGGCGGCGGAAGACGAGGTTCGCCCTCCATTTTTCTTTTGGGGGGGCCAATGGATTCTGTCCCGAGCGCTGACGCTGTGCTAGACGCCTCCACATCGCCTTCATCCGAGACGTCAAAACCCTGGTCAAGCTTGCTGTCCTGGCGACCCTGACGGCTGCCGTCGAGATGACCATTGTCTGGAACCGCATACCGGACGTGAACGACGTGGCCGATGCTGCGCAGGTGATCCCGTTGGTTGTGGTTATCGGAATCATGGTCAGGGCGGTGTTCCTGCATTTCGCCAGGGCAGAGACCGCGTCGGAGACGTCGTCAGGTTCGAGAAGCAGGAGCCAGTTGTCGAGGCGAAGCAGCGTGGCCGAGTCGCGGCGGTCTTCGGCTTCGCGGCATTCGGGGTCGGAAGGGCCGGATATCACGAGACTGCCGCCCCCTGCGCATGTTCATTAAGGAGACTAGATCGTCGAGACCGTGGTGCTCAAACGAGAAGCATGTGACTTGATCGTCTGGTTTGGGTTCTTTGCCAGGCAGGCTGGTAATTGGGGCCATAGGGAATATCTTGACTTGCAGGAGGGGATTGGTTCGGCAAGGCTCATCTACGATGTGGATCAGAGGTTGACATTGATCGCTACCATGCACTGAAGGATGCCCGGTGCTGATGTCAAGTGATGATAGCGTCCAGAGGCAGTTATGCCCCGGCGTGCCGTGCTCTGCGCTCAGGTGAAGTCGATTGAACTTGGGCAGATCAGTCTTGTCGAAAGCAACATCACACAAATCCGCAGCCTTCACATCACTGGTGGATAACCACGAACCTGCCAAACAACCTAGCAGGCAATGCAACCAAGCAGAAATGCAGCCAAGCAGTAATGCAACGCATGCGTATTCTGTCCAGTCTCCTGAGTGAAGTCTTGTTGATCTGTACATGTCCATCGTCAGACCTCCAGCAACAGCTGTCCTACCAGTCCTTTTGCAGCCTCGTGCGACTCCCTCGCTGAGGGGAGCCACAAGCCAATAGCAAATGTCCGCGAAGCAGATGAAATTCCATGTTGAATCCAGTTTCTCCCTGTAACTCCGGTATCATTGAACCTTTCCGTTCGGCAGCAAAAAACCCACAACCACCCGCCTCGCCATTCCAAACTCCCGTCCCCAAGGCGACGCACACACACAGCCATCTTCATCATCGTACAGCAAAGCAACCCGCTCAAGCGGTGGCGGCGACGGGGGCGGCGGCGTCGGCCAGGGGCGTGGTCTTGCCGGTGCCGGCGAGGTTGGTGGTCTTGGCCTTGGGGTTCTTGGTGTAGTAGTCGGCAATGGCGGCCTTGATGCCGTCCTCGGCGAGCATGCTGCAGTGCAGCTTGACGGGGGGCAGCTTGAGCTCCTGGGCGATCTGGGTGTTCTTGACGCGGCCGGCCTCCTCGAGGGTCATGCCCTTGACGAGCTCGGTCAGGTAGCTACTTGAGGCAATGGCGCTGCCACAGCCAAAGGTCTTGAACTTGACGTCGGAGATGGTGTTGGTGTTGGGGTCGACGCGGATGTTGATCCTGGGCAGGTTAGCATGTGCCGATGGGCAGGAGCGAGCGATGGCGACGACTGGGACATGCCGCGGTGTGCATGGTGTCGGGATCGGAAACGTCAGGAACAGGAAACGTACTTCATGACATCGCCGCAGGCAGGGGCACCGACAAGACCGGATCCGACATCGTCACCTTTCAGGGTGCCGACGTTGCGTGCTGCCAAACACCGACGTTAGCCTCTGGTTGCCAAGTGTGATATCAGGGGTCGGGGCAGATCATACGCCTTGAGTAGTGGTCGAGGACCTTTTCGTGGTAGGCTCTCGTCGCGTTGACGGAGACGGCAGGGGCCAGCTGGCGAGGGGCGATGGTGGTCGGCCGGATGGCGTCGAGAGGACGGAGCGCGAGGCAGCGCGGAGAGTCCTGGAAAGCATTGTGGATATGGGGTGTGTGTGTGTGTGTGGCTTGCTGTTGTGTTTTAGTCTCGCCTTGATGATCAAAGAACTAGAGCGATGAAAATAGGTGTTGGACTGATGGCGTGGTTGAGTTTCCCGCACGAAGCGTAGGATGTGGTGTGTTGAGGGATGTTGGAATGGCAAAATCCTAGGTCCGCTAGCAGGAGGCGTCAGAGGGAGGAGGCGAGGATAAGAAATTATGGGAGTGCGGGACTTGCAGTGACGGAGAGGCAGCGCGGCGATCTCGGTGGTGGACAGCTGCTGTGGCCAATCAACACACCCGATTATCGGTCATTAAGTCATTATTTGCTCGGCCCTCGGGCGTCGATGACGGTCACGTGGTTCCAGGAGAGGATTCCCCGGATTTTTCTCACTTGCTTGATAATCTGATAAGATAGCTTCTGCCGTGATAGGTTGCCTCTGTGCCCACTTGATGGCCGAGTTGAGGCTAGTGGCGAGGAGCCCTTCATGCAGGGTCGAGCCGAGAGAAAGCTGAACTGGCCGAAGTCTGTGAATGTGAAGGCTTATCTTGCGCGTGCATCTCCGTTGATGCTCCGTGACAATGCGACATCGGTCTTGACCGGAGGATGGCTTTTGATGTGGAGCGCGGGGTACGATTGCTATTGTTCTCTCTCTTCTGTTGCCTCTGGCGGTATGGTGAAATTGTATGCAAGTTTTTTGTCGTGGCTCAGATGCCATGTGCCTCTTCCTCTGTGTCATGAAGCTAGGCTGGTGCTAGTACAACATCCAGCTTCATAGTCCCCGGAATTCATTTCTTTTGTTTTGAGAGCAACAACAAGGGAGTCGAAACAGAAATAAGAGGCATAAAATGATATTGGTACACCTTGGTATGTGTGGCTGAATTATTTGCTGTCCTGGAACTCAGCAAGGGCATATCCATGCCGAAAGTCAGTAGATACCGTCCTCGAAGCATGACATGAGCCACAATACGTGTCGCTCGAATCAGGAGACTACTTTGGGCTGGGACGAAGAGGATCCTGGAGTGCGTCGAGAGTAGTACACATCGTATGTCGACCTACGAGCAAACTTGATATCAAATTGAGCACTGATCATCCCCCCATCTGACACAAAAGCAGTGAATCTGGTCATGGGAAAACCGAGACTCTCTGTGTGGTCGAAACCAGGTGGCAGCTAGTGCACACCTCGACGCAGGGCGACAGCTCTGGCGGCTGGCGGGGTCTCGAGCTGTCCAAGCTGCAGCCCTGGGGCGCATTACGTACATGCGGGGCACTGGCATCCACCAAGCAGACAGACAACCACCACCGTCACCGACAAGCCGTGCAGCAACACCAGGCTGACAAGGCAACGTTCGAATCTGCTAGAGCTCTGCAACTTGGTTGCCTTGGAGCCTGCCTACCGTTTTATTCTACCCGATTTCCTCCTCTACTCTGCTTCTTTCCCCGACGACTGTCCTTGCCGCCTCTCACTACGCAGAACGAACCCCCACTACTAGGCACAAACCATCGCCACAGCTGGCAGCGCCTTCAACACAGAGAGCTGCACAAACATGGCGTGTCCTCACCTTGACTCCCTGAGTACGTCAACCACGTTGCAGCAACCGCCTGTCATCCTACACCTCGATCGTGACTGACATCGTGCCCCTTGCAGCTCTCAGGCCCCCCACCGCCGCCCAGTCCGTCTACCGAGAGGACTGCACGCAATGTTTCGACTCGATCGATGACGCCGCCGGCCTCGACGTCTGCCTGCAGTGCTTCAACGGCGGCTGTGCCGGTGAACGCAACCACGCCTCGCTGCATCGTGCCTTGTGGAGCCACCCGCTCGTGCTCAACATCCGTCGATCGCGCAAGGTCGTTGTGCGGGACGAGCCTCCCTTCAAAATGTCCAAGCTCGCCATCGCCGCCGAGACGGACGAGGACAGGTACGACACGAAGACGACCGTCAGGTGCCTCGAATGCAGCACCGAGCTTGACCAGACGAGCGAAAAGCTGGCGCCCGTTGTCGAGGGCATCCTCAAGGCGAACACCTTTTCGCGGAAGGAGGAGGTCAAGGCCTGGGAGCAGGAGCTCACGAGCTGTGAACACATCCTTCTGCTCCAGCAGTCTGAGGGCCGGACCATCGAGCCCGCGGGCCTCGGTCACTGCTCGAGTTGCGATCTGAAGGAGAATCTCTGGCTCTGTCTCGAGTGCGGTGCGCTCGGCTGCGGCAGAAAGCAGATGGGCGGCGTGGACGGCAACTCACACGCCCTGGCGCACGCAACCGACTCTGGTCACGGCGTTGCGGTGAAGCTGGGCTCCATCACGCCCGAGGGCACCGCTGATGTCTACTGCTACAAGTGCGACGACGAGAGGATCGACAGCGATCTCAACCAGCACTTGGCGCACTGGGGCATCATCCTGGCCGAGCAGCAGAAGACGGAGAAGAGCTTGACGGAAATGCAAATTGAGCAGAACCTGAAGTGGGATTTCAGCATGACCAACGAGGACGGCCAGGAGCTGAAGCCTTTGACCGGTCCGAGCCTTACGGGTCTGAAGAATCTGGGAAATTTTTTGCTACCTGGCGAGTATCATCTTGGTGCGGGGGTTGATATGCCGTCGTTCAAGACGCGCTACTTCCAACCCAACCTCGACCTGCCCGTCGTCGAAGACCCCGCAGCCGACTTCGATACACAATTGCGCAAGATTGGCCGACGGCCTACACTCTGGGCCGTTACTCCAAGCCCGACCCCCGAAAGCGCCCCGTGTCGGGACGAGACACCCCACCTCACTTACCTAAAGGGGTTTTGGCTCCCGCCATGCTC